CCATTTGTTGATTGGATTATTGGAGATTTTTCAGTTTACTGAATTGTTAATGTTTGATTCTTTCCTCCTTCTCACTTTTTTTTTCTGCTCTTCTAGTGAGATTTATTCTTTCCTATGCTCTCGTGGCTCGGTTGTCCTGCTTCCTACTCTGTGTGTGGGATTGCTTCATTATCTTCTACAGTGTAGGTTCAGTGGTTCAAAATTCCTTTAACTGATACTTATGTTCAAAAAGACTTTTTTATTTATTCTAAAGAATAAGACTTATTTATTCTAAAGATAACTTCACTGAACATAGTCATGTAGTTCACAGTTGTTTTCTTTCAAGGTCTTAAGTACATAACTCCATAACCTCCTGGTATTTATTGTTTCTGTTTGGAAATTTGATATGTGAAGATATTCTTAAAAAGGACTTTTTCTTAACGATATGCCTTGAGGTGTAGGTGTCTTGTAGTGTTGAGATTAATTTAAAGTGGACATTGTAGGTTGTTTCTCTGTGGATTCTTTGGCCGGTAATAATGGGTTTTGAAACTCCAGGTATGTGTCAGAGCACATCTTTCTCTATAGTTCTCATATATATGGAGTCCTTCTGATAGTTCAGGTGTGTTTTTATGGATAGCACAGTGTCAGGGCATTCTTCCTGTGGTATCATTTTTTAGTGTTTGCTCTGAGGGGTATGGAAGCAACCTGTACTGAGGTCTTTCAAGGCACTTTCTTTTTACAACATTTGGATTATTTCTCTCTGGAGAAATAATTAATAATTAATGTGGAGATTGTACAAGAACAGGAATTATGTCAACTTGTGACTGGCTCTTCAGCTGTGGATTTCTTACTTCCCTATTCATTAAGTTGAAATATCCACTAATGCTTCACCAGGACTAGGTCACAGCTCCATTAAGGTGAAATTTCCCTATAGTGGCTAGAGTTAGGGGTATGCCAAGTGTCCTAGCCATGGTGAATCCCTGGAGAGCCTGTGGGAAATAGTGTGATCGCTGGAGAGGTGACATGGGGAAGCTGTGAATTGCCAGATGTTGTCTCTTAGCTCTCAGACCAGGTCCCTATGTACACAACCACATGTGCCTGGAATTGTTCTTCTTCACAGAGAATAGGACCACTTACCAATGAGACCTCCATACCTCCCCTGTAATTCAATGTTCTCAGCATGTTTGTGACAGGTACTCTTCCTATCTGAGACTGTAGAACACTAACGACAAGCCAATCACTGTGGCAGGGTGGTCCAGGGACCTAAAATTGTGATTACCCCATATTGTCTAAGCCCCAGAGCAGTTTAGTTCCTAACAATGACCACTTCTTAAGATAGCTCCTGGTTATATCACTCTGAGAGCTTGCTGGGCAATGTGGTGAATTTTTTTCTCTAAAGCTTGCTTATTGTACAGAAGTACTCCGTCTCAGGACAATGCCCCAAATTTGACTTAAAGCTTGTAAGAACCATGTGTTTCTCCCACAAGACACCATCTGGGTTGTCTGCATTTTCCAGCTTACTTTATATTTGCAAGTTGCCTCCCTCACTCAGGCAGCTGGAGATGAAGTTGTAAATTGCTTTGTACTTTCCTTGGCCGCCTTTCTGCTCTCCATGAAGTTTATCATGACTTCTTTATCAGCTCCTTTCTTTCTCTTCTCAAAATATAATTGTCCCTTTGTTCCCTAACCTTTTTCACTCAGAGTCACAACAAAGGTGCCTCTTTTCTGGGATTTAATTCCTTGCCCCAAACTCCTATTTTTGTATAATAACAATTCCTGAAAACAATTCCAAGCATAGATTTGATTTGTTTGAGGGGTAAAGTAACATTCTATGGGTGTTGAGCAATATCAATATCTGACATCAACTTTTTTGAGAAGTTGCTCAACCTACCTAAAGTAAGTCAAGTTTTGGCATTACATATCCATATGAACTCTGAAGTCTAGAATCATTAGTGAAATATTTGGAGGCAAACCATGGTCCATCCATTTTCCAGTTTTAATGACCATATGGTTATAATTTCTCCTGGATTCATGGCTGTCACCTGAAGTTTCTGATAATCTCATCCCAGTTTCTTACTCTACCCACTGTGTTCTGATCCTCCCATATATTAGGCAATTAGAACTCAAGTGTGTGTGCTCTATAAGAACAAGTCAGATGCTGGCCCATTGACTTTTAGAAGTCATTCACAAAAAGACACTTTTAACTACTCAAGGTAGGAAATCTGACATTTCTAGAATTGTGTTATCAAATCCTATGGAGAACTCTGCAAATAATAAGTTTAACTCTAATAGCAGCTACATAATAATTTCTATGTGAGACATCTAACTATATTATATTGTGTTTAATCTTTTTTTCTTATTTTTTAAATAATTGATTCTTTTACTTATTTTGGTAGGAATTGAAACTTAGCTGCTGCCCTGGTGTAAATGACTCCATGTGTTCCACAGCAAGCTCTGAAATCTGAAAATGGATTCTACCAACTGATTTGTTGAGGGGGGAATAGCAAAGGACAAGAAAATCCTCCTTTTTTTTCTCTGTAAATACAACCATTGACCTAATTATTTTCTTCTCAGAGAGCCCACAGCTCCGCCTGGTGGATGGTGGCAGTCGCTGTGCAGGCAGAGTGGAGATCCTTCACCAGCATTCCTGGGGCACTGTCTGTGGCCACCACTGGAACCTGAATGATGCCCACATGGTGTGCAGACAAATGGGCTGTGGAGTGGCCCTTGATGCCATGCGCTATGCACAATTTGGGGAGGGATCAGGACCCATCTGGCTGGAAAAACTAAAGTGCACAGGAAAGGAGGACCAAGTGTGGAAGTGCCCAGCTCAAGGCTGGGGTCATCATGACTGCGCGCACGATGAGGACGCAGGTGTCATCTGCTCAGGTAGGGTCTGTGCATTCTCCACAGCATAAGAGAATTGAAGAGACAAAAAGTGTTTATCTGATCTTGGGGAAATAAGGGACAGATGATGAGCCATGGAGGATTAAGAGGTCCCCATGAATGCTGGGGACCTCAAAACAGCAGTATAGGATGGGTTTTATTTAATTCTTTCTTGTAAATCTCAGATAGTGTCCTTTCTATTCTCTGCAGTAATACTTGATGAGATAAGGTTTCTTTATATATAATCATTCCACATAAAATCATCTTTATAATTCTGGTTCTATGATTTACTATTTGTACAGCTACCTATAAATTACCATACATATTCTCTTTACAAAAGACAGACAAGAATGGGGATTGTTTGTTTTTTCCGTTGAATTAAGTATTTATTTATGTAGAGCCAGAGATAGTTTTGCACTGGTTAGTAGGTGTATAGGCACATGGATGGGATTAAACATATCACAGGTGAATTTATGGATTACTGAAAACTTGCAATTCTCCTTTCCAGATTCAGACATCAGAATTATCAACTCATTGGCAGGAAGGGCCAGAGAACTTTGAGTGAAATGCTCTGAGTCACAGATATTCCTTCCATCATTACTATAATAGATTCCCTCTACATTTCTTTTTCAAAGCAATAAACTTATACTTGTGAGATGAATTTAGCTCTGTTCTGGCAGATTAATGTTGGATGTAATAAAATATCAGTGCATATGTTTTATACTAAGATGTTAAATAGTTTAGGACTAGAACCAGAAGGGTTGTTTAATGATCTCCCACAAATACACCATATTAATTGTTACTCACACACTAAACTGGCTTCATAACAGACAATAAACAAGGTGAGTGCCTGATTTTACTATGATAAAAAGAAAAGACACATTGAAGGAGGAAGGAAGATAAGACTTGCCCATTTCCCAACCTCAAGCAGCCCAGCATGAAGGTAAATGCATTCTTGGGAAATGGAAAGGGAATTAAACTAAGACCTTTCACTTGAAACCCAGGATTAGGTCTGCCATAGTGAAACTTGGTGCCCAACAGATCCCAACAATATTGTCCCCATGCCAGTAACCTCACACTGAGACTCTGGAACTGTGTTTAGTTGGGTAGCAAAGAGACTGCCTCCACCACAACTATTCCAATCTCTACAGAAGAGGAGAAAGCAAGACTCTAAGGATCAGGCAGAATGCTGGGATAGGACTTTGTCTTGGAATTCAGTGTCAGAACCACCATGATCATACCCAGCACCAAGTAGGAATTAGAGGCCTCAAATGTAGAAGGGATATGACAGAGCAAGACCCGTGTGCTGGTTGGACAGACTCAAGAAGTGCCTGCAGCACCTGTCGCTGATTGCAAGAATCTGGAGTCTTGAGTCCACCTCACCAGTAGGCAGCTCATAGTATTTAGGGCTTAAAGCAACATGAGTTCAAGTCTGACCCCCGTCCACATGAGCAATAAACAAGGTGTCTGTGAGCTACATTCAGCTGAGACTCTGGGAAGACTCATTACCTTGCCTTTTCCAGGATCTAAAAATTACCTGTATTTGCCTTCCTTATTCAAGTCAACCACCTTGCATACTTCTGACCATTTTTTCATCTTCACAGCTTTCTTTGACCAGAGTCAGAAACCATTGTCTGCTTGTAAGAATACAGATCAAAGGATGTTAGATTGAACTGACATAGTTAATCCCAGATAATCTAAAATAATCTCACCATTAAAAAAATTCTCATCTTGACCTTGTTTGCAAAGCTCCTTTGCCTCAAAAGTTAAAGTATTCACAAGCTCCAGGATCAGGAAGTGACATATCTGGGACTTCACTGTTATGCCACATCATTGTCAACACCCTTTTTCCCAGGGTCTGTCAAATAAATATTTAGTCAAGTAGATTTTCCTCCCTTTCCTCAAGAGGCCCACTTTAGTGTTCCTGCCTGTTCATTTTCCACTATGCATTGTCACAGAAATACAAAAAGGCATACAAGTTATCAAAATAGGTCAATGGATAAAAGTTTTGTCTTTCCACGAAGTGGGCACTTCATCAGCAAAGTTAGCAGTGAGTACTCATTGCACAGGGTAAAGAAAAGCAGCACTAAGTGTTAAATACTCACTGTGTCCTATTTTCCTCCTCTTGGTTTCAGAGTTCCAGGCCCTTAGGTTGGCGAGAGAGGATCAGGAGTGTGCTGGGTGGCTGGAGGTTTTCTACAACAACACCTGGGGCAGTGTCTGCCACAGCCCCATGGAAGCTGTGACCTTGTCCGTGATCTGCAGACAGCTTGGCTGTGGGGACACTGGGACTCTCAACACTTCTGTTCCTCTCAGAGAAGGTTCTAGACCCCGTTGGGTAGATGGAATCCAGTGCAGGAAAACAGACACCTCTCTCTGGCAGTGTCCTTCTGACCCCTGGAAACAGAGATCTTGCTCTGCAAAGGAGGAAGCTTATATCATGTGTTCAGGTGATTTACTCCCTATTCCTGTGTCCTCACTATATAGATTTTCAGAGAAATTTCATACTTTCAAGCCAAGAGAATGAATTCCTATATGTCTATGAGATTCAAATTTGAATAGAGATTATTTTAGCCTCAATTTACAATCTTGTTTCAATGACAGAATTAAGTAAACCTGTTCTGACAACCATTTACATGGAAAATGCCATAGATATTAAATTGACCATAGACTTAGCCTCTAAAAAACCGTGTAAGCAAATGGCTAGTGAATTGTTACACTCCAATAATTACTCTCTATTTCCTTAGTAGAGTGAGGAATTTGACCTCAATTATATAAATCACTTGCTATGTTCTGTCATAGTGTTAGTTTTTTTAAAAATTTATTTCACATGTAATGAAGGTTAAACCACTCAGCAAACTGTTCATAGGTATTATAGTGACCATTTAATCCAGATGTGTAAGTTAATATTAGAAGTAAGCACTTCATCCACTCCATACACTCTAGAGGGTGTATACTTGGGGTATCCAATACAGGTGGGTTATCTTTGAGTTCATGGTCTTTTACTCTGAAATCCATCTACATCAGTCAAACTCTCAGTTCAGATTTTTGATGATAAGTAATTGAGTGAGTTGGATCTGGCAACTTAGTTTGAGGCATGAGGAGGAGAGAAAAGAAGAAAATACTCTCCCTATCCTCATGGAGTTTATCAGTGTAAATACTAAGGTGTGAGAAGCCTGGTGACCTTGAGTTACTGACAAAATCCCATCATAAGCAGAATATGAAGAAGCTCGGGAGAGCGATGCCTGATTATCTGGATGGATAAGAAGAGTTCAACTCCTCTCCATGGAATGGCCCCTATACCAATTCTGTTGAATAGCTGTTTATTAATAGTGAATTACTGTGAGATGAGGGTCCTAGTAGCCCCTTATTTTCTCCTTGAATTCATCTCCTCACAGTTCCAGAGGTCTTGCTTGATACTGCCTGCTCCGAGCCTTTATCCATATGCTACTGCAAACGAGGCACTTCATCCCTCTCCCAGAAAACATTCTATGGTGTCCTGTTGGAAATTGGAGGCTATTGTCTTCCAATTTCTTAAAACCTATAATGTGTGCTTCAGTTTCATGTTCTGATAAAAAAAACCCAGGTAATCCTCAAAACAATGATATCTTTATCATTTGGAGGCTCTGTGATTTCTTTTTGACAGAATATTTCTGGGCCAAAAATTAGAATAAAAATATTCCTGTTTTCCTTTGTCACTTTCAGCAATTTCTTTTATTTTTTTCTCCATACCATCTACTTGGAATTTGCTCCATGAGGTGGCATCAGCTACCACTTCTGTTGGTGTCACTCTCCAGCCTGGTCACACCCCACCACACAGGAAGGCTGCAGTACCAGGCTCACCTGGCTCCTCTGTCTCCTGTTCCTGGTGCTGCCTTGAACACAACTGAGATAATATTTTGGCCTCTGAAATCCAGAATTTCTCCCTTTGAATCACTCTACTAACTTGCATCCCATCTCTCTGTTTACCACTCTATTGACCATCACTAACTGTCCAGCTTGACATCTTGTTTGCATTGTTCTTTCACTGACTGTTGCCTCTTCTCCATGTGGCACATGTTTTTGATGCTCCTTTTCCAGATATTTCATCCTCATGCAGATTCCAAATTCCAAATATTTTCTCTTATCAGTGTTTTATCCTTCCACTCTCCTCATGAATGCACATGTTCTTCTTACCCTGATTAGACAATTTGATGCCCATTATAATCCTCCCCCTTCAAGTACACTCAATTCCCTGGTCTATTCTTTATCTGTCAATGACAAGAATAGTTGAGTCAACTACCTAACTCTTTGATGCCTGCACTAGACTAGGCAAGGAGTGATGAATCATGAACAAGTACTGTATCTTGTTATAATGTGAAATTATCCTGCTAGTCTTTTGAATTTTGATCCAATCTCTGATGGATCCTCCTCACTGGCCCCATATTGTAGTGTGCTTCTCTCACATGTGCTCTTGCCCTCTCTCTAACATGAAATTTTACAAATTCCCTGATCTACCCCTCATTGCTATTTAAACCACATCATACACATAAATGATGCTCTTCCCTCCAACTTCACTGGAAAAATAGAAACTTTCAGCTGTCTATATTTTTTTTTTGTTGTTGTTGTTTGTCCTCATGGTCACTCTAATTTACTGATTATTGTTTTTAGAGTCTTGTAAATTCTTTGTTCAATATTTAAATTTTAGACTCCGTATTCTTCCTTAGCTCTTTTCCTTCCCTTATCTCATTGGAGTCCAAAGCTATAGATGATATCATTCTACGGCAGCGCCCAATATAAATCTCTATACCTGGTCTCTGCCCTTAAATCTAAATTCATACATTTCATTGCTAATGGACCCTCACTTGAATATATAATGGACAGCTCAAATTTAATTTTCAAAGTAGAACATTTTATTCCACGCCTTTAAGCCCTGCCTCTATCTTTTTCTCCCTGTTCTATTCCCCATCTCTGTTAATGCCACTGTGGTTGCTCAGTTACTTAGTCTCAGTCTACATTCACATCTCCATTTCACTCTCCCTCCAGTTCCAATGTAGTAGCAAGTTCTATGCCTCTACCAGCAACCATATCCTAAATGCTTTTACTCTTTCCTTCCAACCCTCATCTTAGTTCAGGAAAGATCACTTGTTGCTTGGACTCTCCAACAATCTTTAGTGGTCTTTGTCTTCCATAAAATATTGTCTCCTTAATGATGGAAATATGCTCATTTGATTACCAAGTTGATTAATGTGTTGCTGTGTGGCAGGTGAGTTGCCTTTGGAAGTGACACTGGCAAATTTCTCTGTGGCTCACAGATGCAGAAACAACTGGAAACCATGTCTCAGCAGTTTGTAATTACCATAGTTTGCAGAAATGCCAGGGAAGAGTTGACATCTTATTTTTATCAGACTTTGAAGGACTTCCCATGGAATAGGGAGAAGACTGTGAGCCACTTCAGGCGTCAAGGATGTGACTCAAGTGTGCAGATTGCTATTGCTTGGGTTTGGGTTCAGTCTAAGTTTAAGTAACTCTGAAGACCCTCACCATGCAAGGAACTCCAGGGAATGAGTAATGTTATCTCTGTGGGCAAAGAGCACTGGAGGCATAAAGGGATGTTATGCTGTGTTATATTTTTTGCTCTCTTCACAGAATAGGCCACATAGTTGACACTAGGGGATTGACATTTTTTCCTCTAGTTTATTTTTGGTGTAGAGTTAAACAATATCTTTTCTATTACACTGAATTACCAAGACCTTTTACTTATTGAAATCAAGGAAGACATATTAAAATATAAAACATTAATGGCATTGCATAACCCCTTGTCTATTCTTATTCCTCTGATGTAATTAGGATTAATGGACTTGTATTTATTCTTTTCCCAATCCTCCATTTTCATGGAATTCTATCTAAACTCATAAAGTGATAAAAGCATTTATCTTATAGTATCTTTTTATTTGGTTTTACAATGTTAGGGTTGTATCATGCTTACTATTGTTACATTGGCTTTCTTAACAGTATATTATGGCTATTCCTCATGTAGAGCTCACTCTTTTGTAAAACAACTCCATAATTTTACAGTCTTAAGAGATTAGTATTATAGCTTGCATAATCATTTTGCTATTTATTTATAATTGTTTTCTATTTTTCCTTTCTAAAACCAATATTGTAACAAATTTCCTTGCACATGTAACACTGCATACTAGTAGGTTATTATTACAAGATGACTGCCAATGGTTGCAAGATCATAGGATATCCATTTTTTGAACAGATATTGTCATACTACTTAGTAGGAGCAATTGTTTTCAATTGGTATTTCATATCTTGATAGAAAACACTGTTTTTTATTATTTGGCCATTAAATTAAAGTCAAATAATATACATAAGCTCAAAAAATCAAAAAAGGAACAAAGCCCACAAACCTATGCTAGGAACTGCCTAAAATCCAGGGAGGATGAGATGACAAATGATGATAAATGTTTCAAAAGCAAATGCTTGCACTTTTCCTTTTAATCTCTTTCCTCACCTTATTTTTTTTTTCCTTTTCCCTGTAGAGGCTGAAGGGATAACAAATAATAAGATTTGGTACAGATGATGTCTTTTCTTACAATAGACCCCACATATTGAGAAACAGACATCCAATTCTGAAGTGAGCAACCACCCAAGAGAGATCCTGCCATCATTTCTAGAGATGTTCTCAGTATAGTGTAGGAAGTTGACAGAATAATGGGGAAAATGTATATCCATAATGATATTTTAGGACAAGTGTCATGTGTTTTCTCTGTGTTATTTTTCTTTTATATGTATTCTTTAGTATTGTTTTGCTTGGCTCTATTTTACCTGTATGTATTAATTTTTCTCAGTGTATTATCTTTTCTTGAAAAAATGTTTCTATCTTACCAGCTAACTACTGTCCATTTATTAACTTTTCTCTGAAATCTGGTTGCTTTATTTATGTAAAAAATACTTTTAACTCATTTTAAAGAATAATTTCAATTAATTTAAATGAATACTTTCAATATTTGTGACTTTTCATTAACAATATAAGAGATATTAAGTACAATTTCTTTTGAGAATTACTCAGTACTTATGCTTTTTTTAAGAGAGAGAGAGAAAGAGAGAGAGAGAGAGAGAGAGAGAGAGAGAGAGAGAGAGAACCTTTTTGTAGATGGACCCAACACAATGCCTTTTTTATTTTTATGTGGTGCTGAGAAAGAAACCTGGGTCCCATCCGTGCTAGGCAAGCGTTCTACCACTGAGCCACAATCCCAGCCCAGTACATATGTTTTAAATGCCTAACATTTATTTTCACAAATCATTGACATTAACTTACATTTGTTTTATTACCTTTTGGATTAGCAAGAATTCAAAAAATATTTTTCAGCAGATTTTAGTCATCTATTTATTGAATCAGTAAATATTTATCAAGCCACTGTTCAAAACTTTCATAGGAAGTTACCCATATATACTTCTAATGAATGCATTCAACATGCCAGGCATTCTTCTATTAGTGGGAACAGAGGGAATGAGGCAAGGTCCCCTTTTTAGTGGAGTTTTCTTTCTGGGTTATGTGTGTCTCTGTGTGTTTGAGTTTTACACACATAAACATGTGCATGATCATATTTGTATTTTTTCACATAGTAGGCACAGTAAAAACAGGCAAATAGATGAAAATAATTTCAGCTGCTGATATGGTATGGTCCAGGGAATGTCTCAGTAACCAAGCCTAACAGACTACTTATGAAGCACCATATCACCACCTATTGCCTGAACTGAGCCTAGGAATTTAGAGAACCTCATCTTGGGACAGGATCTCTCCAGCTGTCATTTACCAGTGCTTCCCCTCTGTGTGCTCTTTTAGGAAACAGACCCAAGAGCTGTCCAGCCACTGCGCCCTGCACAGGTACATCATCCCCTCACACCTTCCCCATGGCTTCCAGGGGCTCCTTTCCTCCCACCAGGGTAGTAAGAGGAGGTGCTGCTGCCTTTTCAGACAAAGAGAAGCTCCGACTCAGGGGAGGAGAGAGCGAGTGCTCAGGGAGAGTGGAGGTTTGGCATGAAGGCACCTGGGGCACTGTGTGCAATGACTCCTGGAGCCTGGCAGAGGCTGAGGTGGTGTGTCAGCAGCTGGGCTGTGGCTCTGGCCTGGAAGCCCCAGGAAAGGCTGCATTTGGCCCTGGAAATGGAAGCATCTGGCTGGATGAGGTGCAGTGCAGGGGCAAGGAGCGGTCCCTGTGGGCCTGTGCTGCAGCACCCTGGGGACAGAGTGACTGCAAGCATGAGGAGGACGCTGGTGTGAGGTGCTCTGGTGAGTAGCAGGACAGGAGAGGGGGCCAGGGTTGAAGGAGTGTGTTGCATCCAAAAGGATTCCCTCTGGCTCTGGAAGCCTGTGCCCAATCTCCTGGCATCTTGGACAGAAGTATGTGCCAATGATGGTGGATGGGACCCAGTGACATTCGCAGACCAACACATTTCAGTGATTCCATTTTCCTTCTCTTCTCCCCAGGTGAAAGGACAATAACTCTCACCACGCAGAAAAGTAAGTGGTTGTTTTGCTCTTAACCAGGTAATGGAGGAGATAGGCAGATTTTCAGTGTTCTGCACTATGGAGACTACACAGTTCTGATCACATTACAGTAGGCCTGATGATCAGGTGTTATAAGAAGCCATATCTTGTATTAAGTTGTACAGTCAGAGAGCTCCAAAGCTGCACCCACATTCACTTTATAGAAATCCCTTAAAACCAGACTCAGAAGATAGTTGACATTACCCAGAGCAGGATCCAGGGTGGTAAAATCTTGAAATTCAGGCATATCTATGATGACTGAGCTAGGGACTTCATGGTCCTGAAGACTCAAGTGATGATCAGGATAACTGGGTTCTCCTGAGATTATGGTCCTCTCTAAAGACTCATGACTCTTTTTCTTCTTCATGCACCAGTTCAGCCTCAGCCCCTGTCCCTGGCATCTTCTTACCTGGGATCCTCTGCATGATCCTGGGAGCCCTTCTCCTTTTTGTCCTCATCATCCTGGGAATTCAACTGTTAAGATGGAGAGCAAAACACCAAGGTAGGGCTTGGGAATATGGTGACCTGAAAGTATGCACAGATAATATTGGGCCAATTGTATATATGATGATTTCCCATGTGGACAGTGCTAGTGGAGACTGGGTGAGAAGAAATCTAGTTCTATCCAAATGGATCACAAAGCTAAAGAAAGGGACCTTGGAAGCCCAGAGGAGTGTCTCCAAGAGTATGAATCAAAGAAGATTTTGTCTATTGGTAAGGGCAAGATTTCCCGAGCAATGTCTGAACTCATTCTGCTTTCCATAGCCTTATCAACTTTTGAAGATGCTGTTGGTGAGGTCCAGTACCAGGAGATAGATTACACCATGAATCCAGAGAAGGAGAGCCTGATGAACAGCCCAGGTGTGTTCCATAGCCTCCTTTGTTTGCATGAGTTTTCTATCAGTGCAGGAATCTTTGATAAGCAAAGATCACATGACTAACCCAACCTCATATGGCATATCTGGTAGCTTTCTATTCCTAAAATAAAATGCCTGTTATAATCAAATTATAAAGAAGAAAGTTTGATTTGGCTTCCATTTGCAGATGTTTTATTCCTTTGGGCCTGTGCAAGGCAGCCTATCATGCTGGGAGCATGTGGTGGAGCAAAGATGCTCACCTCACGGTGACCAGAAAATTAAGAGAAAGAAGAAGAGATTAACATCCTACAATTCTTTTCAAGAGGATGCACCCAACAACTTCATTCCTCCCACGAGTTCTCACACCTTAAAGGTTCTACCTTTTCAAATACCTCCAACTGGAGGACCAACCATTTAGAACAAGAACTTTTAGGAATATTCCTGGACCACTATAACAATTATCAGCATCCTTCTAAGGCAGGAGCTCTAAGCCCTCTCTCTACAAGGATGAAGCTTCAAAATTTTTTCTGAACCATGACATTGACCTCCTCCTGTGTTTGTCTATGATGTTTTCTCCCTACTAGGAACCATGTCTGATGATGGCTCAGCAACTAAGCTACCCTATTACACAGGGGACAGTGAGGAGAATGGAGACCCTGAACCTGCCCCAGGTAGTAGAGACAAGTCTTCCCCTGGATGGTGGGAGTGAGGAGGAGGTTATCATCTGAGAAGAACTTTCTGTGATTAGGATGGGAAGGATCTCTTCCTTCAGGTTCACAACTACCTTTTCTCTCCACCCACTGTGTCATACAGAAAGGGAAAGATGAGATTCTAATCTGTAGGTTTCCATAGGTACTTCCATATGGTCACAGACATACCTCAAATATATCATTATAAAATCCAAGGCCATAACTTTAAAAAGAACATTTGAACTTGATCATCTCACAAATTCTATGGTGAAAGAGAACATATGGATTTGATCTGAAATACAGGAATGTATGGACTATTTTGTGGTTTATGGAATACTAAGACAAAAAAATGACCTTCATAATCACTAGAACACAGGGAGTGTGTGTGATGCCTGTACTTATCAATCATTGGAAGAGCTTCTCTAAAAATGACCTAAGAAAGGAGGACATCATGGACCTTCCCCAACTGGTAAAAATGGAGAGTTCCTAGGATGAGGCATGAGCAGGAGTGCTCTTTAAAATTAAATCTTAAGGACAGCAAAGCACTAGAGGAGGTTGAAACCCATGCCTCCTGGGATTCAAATTGGTAAATAGCCTATCTGTGGGAGAGAGAAACCCAGGCTTCTCTTCTGTGTCTCCATTGCCTCAGAGGCCATATGAACAGCCTGGGTTCTCCTTAGGCCTGATGAAATCACCCTCAATCTCTGATATGTACATATTTTCTAACCCTTTATTATATGCCTGAAAAGAGTGCATCAAACTTACAACATAAGTTTATTGATGTTTTTTGGCATGACATGTTAGTAAAATATTATTGAATTTCATACATTGAAATATTTAGATGATTTACATGATCTAAGAATATGGACATCAAATATATCCCTTTGGGACAGCCTTGGAATATGGTACCTATATTTCTCAACTATGAGAATCTCTTAGAATCTCTTCATTAGAACAGACTGAAGACATCACCAAGACTAACAAATATCTTTCTCTTCCTCCTTATTCCCTCTCTTCAGAACCTGGAGGACAGCATGCAGTTGCCACAAGCAGTGGTTATGATGATATTGAAGAGATACCTGTTCCTGAAAATCCTTCTTCATTTGGAAGGAAGGAGAAGAATTTTTTCCCAGAAGAGGGAGGTGGTGCCAGGTGTTCTCAGACAGGTAAGTGGATAACTATGTCTCCAGTGGTCTTGCATTATTATCATGGTAAAGATGGATTTGGACATATCAATGATCAGTTTTCCTTTACTACAAGATTCTAAGTAGCCTTGTAAACCAAGATGATGCATTTGCTTTCTTTTTTCTGTTCACTGAAGATATTTTTATTGCTTCTGAAAGGAGGTAAATATTGTGTCCTCTGTCTGCACACCCTGCTCTTGGGATAGATACATGTCTGTGTGAACTGCAGAGACTTTGTGGCTTTGTTCCAGTCTTTACAAAGCAAACCAAGACTTCTGTATTAACATCAAGTATTCTTGTCTTTAAACATGTGAGAAGTAATTTGGAGAGCATTTTAGTGTTTTTATTAGTGCAATATAATTATTCATAATAGTGGCATTAATTTTGATATATTCATAAATACATATAGCATAATTTGCTCCATTTAAATATCTAATGCTTCCCCTTTCCTTTCTCCTTCCTCTGATTACCTTCTTTTAATCAACACGTCTGCCTTCGATGTATTTATTGTTTTTGTAGTGAGAACATAATATTCATACATAAAAGTAAAATTCATCGTGATATATTCAAGCACAGAGAGAGCATAATATGGAGAATTTCATTCCAGAGATCCTATCCATTTCTCCCTGACATGCCTCCCCTCAACCCCCTTCTAATCCACTGTTATTGCTTCTATTTTCATAATATCTCTCTTTTTATTTCTTACTTCTATGTAGCTTCTGCATATGAGAGAAAAGTTTCAACTCTTATCATCCTGCATCTGGCTTATTTCACTTAGCATGATTTTCTCCAGTTCCACCCATTTACCAGCAAATGATATAATTTAATTTTTCTTCATGACTGAATAGAACTCTATTATGTGTATTTGTGAGTATTGTGTGTGTGTGTGTGTGTGTGTGTGTAATTTTTTATTCATTCATTCATTAAGAGACACCTAAGCTGGTTCCATTACTAGGTCACTATAAACTCAGCTATTATAAACACTGATATACCTGTATCACGGTTTTATGCTGATTTCAACTCTTTTGATACATATAAACAAGTGGAATAGCAGGGTCTTATGGTAGCTGCATTCCTCCTCTTTTAAACAATCTTCATACTGCTTTCCAAAGTTGTCATACTAATTTGCCATCTCACCATGAATGTGTGTGTATGTCTTTATCCCCACCTCCTCACCAACATTTATTTATTTAATTCTTAAATTTTTATCAGTGCATTATATTTCTCCATAATAGAAGTGTTCATTTTGAACTATTTATACACCCAAAAATAAAGTTTTCTCCATTTTAATTCCCTGTATTCCATTTTTTTCGTCTCCCTTCTTCTGCTCCCCTTATCTCCTCTACTTATCTCCTTTCTGTTAATTTATAGTTTTTTAATAAATTAGTTTTATATATCTACAATTATATATACATACACACATATATACTTTAACATGGTATATTTATCTTTAATGTAATTTGTTCGATTTCATTCTACAGTTCCTCCTTTTTCTCATTTTTCTCCCTTCGAATCAACCCCCTTACTCTCTTCCATTGATGTCTCCTTTTCTTTCATGAGTAATACAGAATTCTACCCCCTTTTTTTTTCCCTTCGTGCCTTATTTTGTTCCAACTTCTGCATATAAGAGAGGAAATTCAATTTTTGACTTTCTGAATTTGGTATATTTCCCTTAGTATGATGTTCTCCAGTTCCAGCTATTTATATACAAATACCATAATTTAATTCTCCTTTATGGCTGAGTAAAATTTTCCCACATTCTCTATATGCATTCATCAGCTGACAGGCACCCAGGCTGTTTCCATAACTTGGCTATTGTAAATTGTGCTTCCCTCAACACTGATATGCCAATATACTCCAGTATGCCTAGTTTAGTTCTTTGGTTAAAACCAAGGAGTGACATAGTCATGAAGTTGTTTTACTCCTAGTCTTTTGAGAACTTTTTATACTGTTTTCCAAAGTGACTGTACTAATTTGCAGTGCCGTCTAAAATGAATGAGTACTTTTCCCCACATCCACTCCAGCATTTATTATTATATATATTCTTGATGATTGCCATTCTAACAGGGACCAGATGACATAAAAATTTATTTTTGATCTGCATTCCCTTGATTTGTATAGATGTTAAGCAGCTTTTCATATATTTCTTGGTCATTTGTATTACTTCTTTTGAAAAATACCTGTTTATCTTTTCTGTCCATTTATTAATTATATTAAGTGATTCTTAGGTATTAACTTTTTGAAATGTTTATATATACTGGATATTAATCCTCTGTCAAAAGAATAGCTGGCAAATATTTTATTCCATTTTATAGGCTCTCTATTCATTCTCTTATTTCCTTTGCTGTGCAGAAATATTTTAAGTGATACCATCCCACTTGTTGATTCTTAGTTTTATTTCTTGAACTTTCAGGGTCTTGATAAGGTGCCTGTGCCAATATGTTGGAATAGTAAGCCTATATTCTTCTGTCAATCACAAAGTTTCTGTTCTAATTCCTAGGTCTTTGATTCATTTTAGTTGACCTTTGTGCAGGTTGAGAGATATGGAACTAGATTCGTCCTTCTACATACAAATATCCAGTTTTGCAAGAACCATTTTTTTAAAAAAGGCTCTTTTTTTCCAGTGTGTTTTGTTCCTTTGTCAAGTATCAGATGAAAATATCTACTTGAGCTTATTCTGTGTTTTTTATTCCATTGCATTTGTAGTCATGTCTGTTTTGATGCCAGTACCATGCTGTTTTTGATAGTACAGCTCTCTCCTTAGCTAAAATAGCCAAAAGTGAGAGAAGACCTAAATCAACAAAATTAGAGATGAATAAAACATTTCAGAAGTCCAGAGGCTCATTAGGAACTATTTTGAAAATTTACACTAAAACTATAAAATCTAGAAGATATTAATCAATTACTAGGTAGAAATCAAACCAGCAAAATATAGAAAACCTAAACGGACCATATCAAGCAATGATACTGAAGCAGCAATTAGAAGTCCTCCAACAAAAGAAGTCCTATCATCAAACTATTAAGAAAGAAATTTTACCCATCTTTCTCAAATTATTCCATAAAATAGAAAACTAGGAAACACTTCAAAATTTATTCTATACAGCCAGTATTGCTTTTATACCAAAACAAGACAAAGACCCATCAAAGAAGGAAAAACTTCAGACCAATGTCCCTGAATGAAGCAGACACAAAAATTTTCAATAAAATATTATTAAAGCACATTCAAAGACATTTTAACAAGATAGTATGGAGTGAAAAGTGGGTTTCATGTGAGTGGGATGCATGGGTAGTTCAACATATGCAAATCAATAAGTTTAATTCACCAAAAAATACATCTACGGATAAGAATCACATGATCAGTTCAATAGATAAAGAAAAAAAAAAACATTTGATAAATTTTAGCTCCCATTCATGTTAAAACTTTGAAGAAATTAGGGATAGAAAGAAGTTACCTCAACATTTAAAGGCTATGTGTAGTAAATGCAAAGCCAACTTCCTATTGAATGAAGAAAAGCTAAAAATATTTTCTCTGAAATCAGAAACATGAAAAGTATGTTCACTCTCACCACTCCTAATCAACATAGTTATTGAAACTAAAGTCAGAGCAATCAGACAAGAGAAGAAATTAAAGAGATACAAATATGAAGAGGCCAAATTATCTGTTTCCTGAAGAAAGAATCCTGTATGTAGTATACTCAAACATCACCATCAGAAGAATTCTAAAACTTATTGAGGAAAGTAGAATACAAAATCAGCATTCAAAAACCAATACCTTTTTAGGTTGGGGTTGTGCCGCAGTGGTAGAGCACTCACGTAGCCCATTCAAGGCCCAGGTTTCAATCTTAGCATCACATAAAAATGTACAAATAAAATTAAAATATTGTTTCCAACCACAACTAAAAATTAATATTTTTTAAAAATCAATACCTTTTCAATAATCCAATAATGAATCTGCTGAGACTAAAATCAGGAAAACTATTCAATTCACAATAACCTAAAAGAAGGCAATGATTATTATTTATCTTGAATCTTGTCTTTCTAACTGTGGTGATATAAAACCTCACTTTTATTTCATTTCCTTTATTGTTAAGAATGTTGAATAGTTTTTTCATATATTTCTTTGCCATTTTCATGTCATCTTCTGAGACGTATCTGTTTAGTTCACTTGCCCATTGACTGACTCAGTTTTTTGAGTTATTTTGATGTTTACATATTCTGGATATGAATCTTCTGTCAGAAGAATAAGTGGCAACAGTTTCTCCCATTCTTCAGGTTCTCTTGTTTCCTCTGCTGTTTGAAGTTTTTAAATTTGAAGCTGCCCCATTTGAGTCTTGGTTTCATTTCTTGAGCTTTGGGAGTTTAATTAAACACTGTTTGTGCCTGTGTATTGGAGAGTTGGCCCTATGTTTTCTTCTAGCAATTGTAAAGATTCTTGTCTAATTACTAGGCCTCTGATCCATTTTAGTTGATGTTTATGTAGGGTGAGGCAGAGGGAGCTGCTTTCATTCTTCTACATATGGATATCTTGTTTTCCCATTTGTTAAAAAGTCTATTTAGTCAGTTTTTTTACCTTATATCAATGTTTTATTTTTATTTTTTTACAATGATCTTGACATTTCATACGTTTGAATCAAATGGGGTATAATTTCTCATTTTTTCTGATTGTACAGGTTGCAGAATCCCATTGTTCATACAGTCACGTATATACATACAGCAATAATAATGTCTATTTTATTCTGCTGCCCTTCCTTTAGTCAGCTCTTTCACTTATTTGACTAAAAGACCCAACCAGCAAAATTGTAGAGGAGAAAAGATTTATGCAGGGGCTCAAGGTCTCAAAGGTATCTATTTATAAACAGCAGGCTCCATTCATTGAAGCTAAAGGTGTGGCTGAACGTCCTGGTGGAAGAGTGTGGCAGAAGGAAGCAGCCTGCATGGTGATCAGGAAGAAGAGACAGACTCCCTTCTCCAGAAGACAATATATACCCAAGGCCATGCCTTCAAGGACCCACCCCCTCAACCCACAACCCGCCAGCCTTCAGTTACCAGGCATTTAATCCTCATCAGGGGAATAATGCAAAAATTGAATTAAGGCTCTTACAATACAATTGTTTCTCCTCTTGCATTTTTCTCACACATGAGCTTTTGGAAGACACATCACATCCAAACCATAACATCCATTTTTTTCTCCAATGTATGTTTTTACTGTTTGTGTCAAGCATCAGATGACTATATCTATGTGGGTTTATCTCTGTGACTTTTAGTCCAGTGACTTTTAGTCCAGTGACTTTCCTGTTGGTTTTCATAAAAATGCCATTTTATTTTTGTTATTGGAGCTCTGCAGCACTATTTGAGCAAGGGAATTTTGTTGCCCCAGCCTTGTTCCTCTTTCTCAGTATTCCTTTGGCTACTCTGGAACTTTTATTCTTCCATATGAATTTTAGGACTGATTTTTTCAGTTCTGTGAAGAAAGTCGTTGATATTTTGATTGGGACTGATTGAAACTATAGATT